GTATCAGGATGTAGCCATCCAGCCCCTCTTACAATGTCCCTCAGTTCTTGGCCTCACGGACGTCCTGTGGCAATGAGTTCCACAGTCTAATCATAGGCAACTCCTCAGGAAAACGTATTCCCCATACTTTGTATTTATACAGTACCGGTCACCCAAGGGTCATGGCGTGCTTTGCAAGCACTATTTGATCTCTGCATCATCCTAACGTGGGGAAGGTGACGATCTTCATTTTACAGATGGGGAAACTGAGGCACAAAGGGGTGCTGCTTGTCAGAGGTCACAAGGCCAGGAGTAGCATGCAGGAGCCTCGTCTCCCAATCACCCAATGCTGAGGCCACATGTCTCCCTCCTCCCCTGGCACCACAAACAAGTCCCAAGAGTCCCCATTGACTAGACTCCTGCTGTGACAACTGGACTCCCGCCCGGAGGAGGGAAGGGCTGTCAACTGAGGCACAAAGGGGTGCTGCTTGTCAGAGGTCACAAGGCCAGGAGTAGCATGCAGGAGCCTCGTCTCCCAATCACCCAATGCTGAGGCCACATGTCTCCCTCCTCCCCTGGCACCACAAACAAGTCCCAAGAGTCCCCATTGACTAGACTCCTGCTGTGACAACTGGACTCCCGCCCGGAGGAGGGAAGGGCTGTCACCGCTCTGCTGTGGCCGCTCGCAGCCTGCCCTTCCAGAGAGGCGTGAGCCAGAAGCTACGTGGGGGGTGCGGCGGGAAAGCCCCAGCTCCAGCGCCCAACCTCTGCCGCGTTCCCTGGCTCGGCCGGACCCAAGGCACGAGGTGCATGCACCGACTGTGGCCCGCGTGTCCAGGCCGTTACACGGCTCCCCGAGACTTCGCTGGGGGCCTCATGGGGCTGGGCAGAAAAACTAACCTGGACCCAGGGCCGCTGGGTGCCTTGTTCATTCCCGCCCTGACATTCGAGTGAGCCAGGCCTGGGCCTCAGGGCCCTGCAGTTCCTTTCTTGCTCCCTGATAGCCAATTTTAGAGCTGGTCTTGGAACCCCCCCCCCCCGCCCCCCC